TTGTTGTTCTGCGTTCGTGAATGTGTGGTGGGGGATTGTTATGTTCTTTGATCCTAATACTTATGCTACATTCCCTATAGCCTGTGTAAGTGTTATCGCATGGATACTTGTAGATACGCCCGTCCGTCGTTGAAATTGTCAGAATAAATCTTCTTAAGACGAACTTTGATTTTGGTGCTCGGTTATTGAATAAAAGTAACTTTGTTGTTTATTTTGTGTTAGTGTAGTAAAATGCTAACAGGCAAAAATAGGTTAAATTAAACTAAATTGTGATTCATTAGTTATATATAGATTGCTATATGTTAATTCTTACCTGCGTTAATGAAACATTAATAATAACACTCGTTATAATTACAACGTAGAAGTGCTAGTAAATATAAAACATTAATCATAACACTTGTTATAATTACAACGTAGAAGTGTTAGTAAAGAAAACATTAATCATAACACTCGTTATAATTACAACGTAGAAGTTCTAGTAAACTTTACTAACACTTCTACATTGTAATTATAACGAGTGTTATGATTAATGTTTTATATTTACTAGCACTTCTACGTTGTAATTATAACGAGTGTTATGATTAATGTTTTATCTTTACTAACACTTCCACATTGTAACTATAACGAGTGTTATTATTAATGTTTTATCTTTACTAACACTTCTACATTGTAATTATAACCAGTGTTATGATTAATGTTTTATCTTTACGAGCACTTCTACATTGTAATTATAACGAGTGTTATGATTGAAATTACATCCTAATTTTTTGGGGTATTTTCATATGAAAATTTACCAATAAAACCCATATTTTCGAAATTTAGTGGTTAGTTAGTTATCTAAATTATAGAAAGAGGCGTTTCTCCACAGTGGTCTGTATTTCTTCTCGCTACAACCCCGCCCTTACCTCAGTGGCTCAGCGGCAAGTCTGAGGGCTTTTAACGTTAAAAATCGGGTTTCTATAACAGAGCACATAAAACCCATTATGTAGCTTTGTGTTTAACAAAAAAACAAATATCTCCCCACACCAGTACATCCCCGTAAATATTTGTTGATTCATCCAAGGGGTCGATCCTGGGGGGATATACTACAAACAAATATCTCCCCCCACTAGTACATCTCCGTAAACGTTTCTGTATTCATTCAAGGAGTCGATCCTGGGGGATATCTCCCCCACCCACCAGTACATCCCCGTAAATGTTTGTTGATCCATCCAAGGGGATCGATCCTTGAGGGGATATGTTTTATCGCATATCATTTTTAATTTCTGAGTATGAGAGTGTTAAGTTCCGAATGAAGACCCAAGTCACGTGTTGTATAACACACACACACACTCTCTCTGCTATTGTCATTACTGCATAATTCTATATCAATATGGAGTTTTTACATACTGATTAAGAATTAAATATGTATGTGTGCGTTAGTGTTCTTCTAACATATCACGATGAAGAAAACACATTTTCATCAACAATTATTTCTTCTTTACCAGTATAATATATTTGGTATCAACTCCTCCGGGTTCTTCTGTTATATACTAAATAAAAATAAAACTACTTCTGTATAAAGAAAATACTAGAGAAACAAGAAACTACTCCTGTATAAGGAAAATACTAGAGAAACAAGAAACTACTTCTGTGTAAGGAAAATACTAGAGAAACAAGAAACTACTTCTGTATAAAGAAAATACTAGAGAAACAAGAAACTACTCCTGTATAAGGAAAATACTAGAGAAACAAGAAACTACTTCTGTATAAGGAAAATACTAGAGAAACAAGAAACTACTTCTATGTAAGGAAAATACTAGAGAAACAAGAAACTACTTCTGTGTAAGGAAAATACTAGAGAAACAAGAAACTACTTCTGTATAAAGAAAATACTAGAGAAACAAGAAACTACTCCTGTATAAGGAAAATACTAGAGAAACAAGAAACTACTTCTGTGTAAGGAAAATATTAGAGAAACAAGAAACTACTTCTGTATAAAGAAAATACTAGAGAAACAAGAAACTACTTCTGTATAAAGAAAATACTAGAGAAACAAGAAACTACTCCTGTATAAGGAAAATATTAGAGAAACAAGAAACGACTTCTGTATAAGGAAAATACTAGAGAAACAAGAAACTACTCCTGTATAAAGAAAATACTATAGAAACAAGAAACTACTTCTGTATAAGGAAAATACTAGAGAAACAAGAAACTACTCCTGTATAAGGAAAATACTAGAGAAACAAGAAACTACTTCTGTATAAAGAAAATACTAGAGAAACAAGAAACGACTTCGAATAATAAAACGAGTATTAAAGAATCGGGAGAGTTTTTTAATACAATGTGAACGCTATACAAGTAAATATTCTAGTTGTTGAGTTTCGCCACTTTGAGGTTCTTTACGCTATTTCTTCCCAATTTAAAAATGATAAGCTAGAGAGAAGGCAGCTTAGTCAACACCACCTACCGGACTACTCTTTAACTAGCAAAAGGTGGGATTGACTGTCACATTAGAACTACCCCATAGCTGAAAGAGCGAGGATATTCGACGACGGGATTCGATTCCGCGAACCTCAGCTCGCGAGTTCAGCTTCCTATCCACTAGGCCACGTAAATAGCGTGTGTGTGTGTGTGTTTTCGATTCCGCGACCCTCAGCTCGCGAGTTCAGCTTCCTATCCACTAGGCCACGTAAATAGCGTGTGTGTGTTTTCGATTCCGCGACCCTCAGCTCGCGAGTTCAGCTTCCTATCCACTAGGCCACGTAACTAGCGTGTGTGTGTTTTCTTATAGTAAAGCCACATCGGACTATCTGCTGTGTCCACCGATGGCAATCGAACCCCTGATTTTAGCGTTGTCAATCCGAAGACTTAGCGCTGTCCCACCGAGGGACCATAAAAATAGTAAATAGTCACAAACTATATTTTAATTATTATGAATATTTATAGTTATTGTTTTCTGAGAAGCTACAATACTTAAAGTTAAGTGTAAAATATCAAACACAATGTACACGTAGTAGCTATTGCCGCTCTGAGGGTCGTCGAATATGGTAAAAATCTCATTTTCTTTGTCAAATAATCTACAAGTGAGTACTACAGCTCTACACAATAAATGCGGAGAATTCGAACAAAATAATTTTAAAATAACGAGGCTATTTCTGATTTCAGTTAATTAATGTAAATCATAAAATGCCGTTACGTTTGATTAACCTTGAATGTATTACCTTTAACAAAGAACCAGTTGTTTTGCACGTGGCCTCGCGTGTGCGTGCGCCAATCTCACCCTATATGTTCGTAAAAAGAAAAGTACAGGTTTATTATCTTTTCTTAATGATAACTCTTAAACTAAAATGTCTTTTCAAAGGAAAGAACACAATAAAAAGACCTTTGTATTTTTCGTTTTATACATAAGTGAATATCATATTTCACTTTGGAAAACGACTTACATTCTCTAAACGAAAACGCTTAACGACTCTTTAATGAACTCAAAGTTCTTACTTTGATTGAGAGGGCTTAAATCCAACAGAGAAGACTTGCAAAACAAGTGTTTACAAAACAGGATCAGGATTCTTTTGACTGGATCCCGGAGTAGTTTCCTCTTGTTATTCTGCTTTTATATTTTGTTCTTTTATTTTGCGCAAAGCTACACAAAGGGCTATCTGATTTTGATGTTATAAATCTTTAAAAATTACTGCTGATCCCTTGGAGGGAGAGTCTTTCTCGTTATAAAAATAATAGTAATATTAATAATATAATATTTATTATTATTATACAAACAAACTAGAAATAAAGGGGAGATAAAACTGGGCGGTATTTGTTGAAGAGGAGAGTGTAATCTTTTCTTCACATGTAGTAAAGAAACAAATACTGAGCGACTAGCGTTAGCATGGTTACTTCGCTTTGTATATTTATAAAATGTTCTTGTTTCATGGGTCGTCGTCACAATACTGGTTATCATGGTTACTTTATGCACATGACATACAGTTTTAAGCCTATATCTTTTTTAATTGTATGAAGCTTTAGAATGTCGAAATTCCAGTATCTTTACTTCTTAATATTTTGAATATAAAGCTATACTATTGTTGTAGGTTATATTTTCAATGTCGTAATTTGTTTGTTAGTTAAAGAGATCTGCGGATCGTAAGTTATGACGCAAAGTAGGTCGCCTAGAAAGTTCTATTATTTGATCTCAAGTTTTGTGCTAGCACATTCGAACCTATAAATTATAAATACGAAATAACCGTAAGGTGTGAAGAGTGAGTTTAAGATAGAGAGTGAACCATTTAATGTGTTAACTATCGGGGTTACTTCGAACAAGTAAGCTAATTTGTTTTACATTAGTTAACATTATTTGTAACGTGGGCCTACAACAAGTTACAGAAGCGTACAAGTGTTTGTACAAGTTTGTAGAAACGTTAAAGTATGAAATAAGTTAACTTATTATCGTTATGTGGACTGGGCGTTGAATTATTTCATAAGATAATTTAAAAGTACCCGCCAGAGGTCACTCTTTGAAAACATGGTAATCATACTTCAGAATTACTGTTTTTGTTCTATTTAATACACGAGTAATGCGTGAATTATTTCGCTTGTTACTATCTCTGGACTAAAGAAATAAATGTTAAGCTTATTAATTTTCCCTACTGTTAGGCCAATGCGGAAGGCATTACATTAAAAGGATTTTGAATGTCAAAATAAGCATGTCACATAACAGCCACAGCCGATATAAAGTTGCAGTGGTACAAAAGGTATCACAACTACATTATGACATTATTTGGCATTTCGTAGGCAGTATAATGCCACCGACAAGTGATTGCTTTCGAAAAAAGGTATGCAACAGGCCTTTCCGACGCATAATATTTCTGCTTCTAGATCATAAACACGTGTTCAGATCGGAATTCCAAGACGGGAATATCCCTTGCAGTTAATAACTTTGGAAAACAAAGAAATATGGATCAACTTGGAGAACTAGGACTATCCACAAAGAGACTTGCAATAAGTCGTATTTAAGCTGTGGTTAGCAAAATGCAGTGTCTTGTAACAGTTAATAATTCACAAACATAATAATCAGTAGCAAAAACCGTCCACTTGCCACATATAACAGTACCCAACATAATCAAGAAGGATCTCTGTCTATAAAAGCAACACAAGTGACATGTACACAATTTATTTCCAAGACATATCCTTTCAACAGTTGCATACCACAAAGCAACTAGAGAATAAAACGGGTATTCGTACTATTCCATACGACGATATACCGATAAAGTCACCGTATACAGTGCCTATAGATTTATGTGCGATTAATCTGTTTAAATGGACGCTGGGAAGCTGTAAATCCTCCTACATAATATGGATTGTGAAAAGCCTGCAGGAAGTTGGGGTATGCTTTTGACATGCGAGTTTTACAGAATCGTTTACAATGGAAACTACGCTGCAGAGCTGTTGACAATGTGCACGAGCGTCGGAGAGAGCATAACCGGACGTGACAACATCGATTTTAACGATGTAATGAGGCTTCAAAATCGTTTAAATATAATGTACCAACCTGTGTATGTTCACATAATTATGATTAACAGGTTTAACGGTATCCACGCCTTATTTACTAAGCGTTTATTGAAATAAGTACGTAAAAAAATATAACCGTATACTTGGAAGAAGGGTAGACGATTTGAAATAATCCAGTTAACAATCTATATAAAAAGGAAATGTCCTTTGTTTAAGTGTAGTTAAAAACATGTCATCTGTTCTTTCGTAGTTAAACAGTTCAACTAAGTTTACAATAAGCACAAACGGGAGAAATGTATAGAACAAAACAGGAGTGAAACGTTGGATTGTATGTGTTCTATTTCACCACCATACTCTAGCGGTTAAATAACTTTCTGTCAGTTA